TTTCTTTCTGTATGTATTTGTGCAATGTGTGCACATCTTCATACATATGAATTTATCCTTCAATCTCTCTATCTACCTTTATCTCCTGCCCTCCTTTCATATATATTTCTGTACATCGTTATTCCCTTTCCTTCTCTCCTGCCCTTTTATCCAAAAGAAAAGAAACAAATTCAGGTTTTCTCTCTCTCTCTTCCTTTGTTCATCCTGTTTCTTAGTAGTCATGGTCTTCTTGCACCTTGTTCTCCTGTCCTTCAATAACCTTTTGTTACGCTTTTCTTATTTAAGTTTGCTTAGATATTCATTTACTTTTTTTCTGTGAGGGGGATGGGTAATATTTTTATGCTGTGTTGTTCTTGTTTTGTTCTTATGTTGTTCATTTTTATTTAGTTTCTAGATTTTTGTTCTCTTTTTTTTTAAAGCTTCCAGTCAAGTATTTTCTCGGTAATTTTCTGGAAATTCACAAAACTTTGCATTGTTTTTTCGTGGGTTTTTTTTGTGTGTATGTGTTGTTGTTGTTTTTTTTCTTTCTTTCTTTCTTTCTTTTCTCTTCTTTTCTTTTTCTTTTCTTTTCTTTTCTTTTCTTTTCTTTTCAGAATTCCTTTTATCTTTGGGCGTCTACTTAGCCTCTTATCAGGACTTATTTTTGTTCATATTTTTCTTCCGAGCTTTCACTATAAATGCACCTTTTTCATATATCTGTTGCAGAGTCATGCACTATCTCTACGCCTTTATTAACGTTTCTCATTGTTTCGTCTTTTATCTGATATTCTTTGCAAACATTTCGTTTATCAATTTTTACTGTTTCCTTTTCTTTCATATCCTTATTATTCTTATCTCATTTTTGCCTCACCCACCCCCTCCTCCCCCTCCTCCCCCTCCTCCCCCAACCCCTCCCGTAGCAACTCCCGTCCCCTGCTCGCCCCTCCCTGCCCCTCCCACCCCCTCCCCAACTTCACGCCCACGCCTCACCTCCTTCGAGATGATCTTCCAGAGGAAGGGCGGAGATAAGAAAGAGATAATAAATAGGGATAGAAAGCAGAATGACAGAAAATAAATGTAATAAAATGGTGAGCTATAGAGAGGCAAAAAGGTACATTATAAAGTAAAAGGAGAATTAGATGGATTAAGACACTAGATGTTTTAAAAAGGATGGGAAGATGAAAAGAGATTTGAAATTAGATTCAAAGAACGTAAAATATCAAAGCGGAATACCTGGAAAGTGATATAATACAAGCTTGAATATAGTAATACCGTCGGGAGACAAGGCTGCCGTCGCCCATCCGTCAGCGGCTGCCTCTCGAGGGCGAGGCAGACCTACCGCGAGACGGGCATGGCGGCGCCCGGGGGAGGGAGGCCGCGTCATGCAAGTGCGTGGGAAAGCACCCGGGGCTCATGCTCGCCTGCTGACTGTGCACGCAGGCGGCAGGTGCGGCCGGCAGGTGGCGCTATGGAGGCTCGGGCTCGTGGGGCTGCTCTCTGCTCTATTTCTCTGCTTTTGGGCTGAGCGAGTGGTGGCGGGGGCGGGGGCGGTGCTCATGCTGCTTTGTTCTGCTTTGTCTTCCTTTCTTTTGTTCTCTTTCTTCTCATATATATGTATATACATCTCTCTCTCTCTCTCTCTCTCTCTCTCTCTCTCTCTCTCTCTCTCTATATATATATATATATATATATATATATATATATATATATATATATATATATATGTTCGTATGTGTGTGTGTGTGTGTGTGATGTGCCCTCCCCCCTCTCTCTCTCTTTCTCTCTCTCTCACTCTCTCTCTCTATCTATCTATCTATCTATCTATCTATCTCTCGTACCAGTTATCAACCTATCCATCTCTGTCTGTCTATCCCCCCCCCGCCCTCCCCTCTCCTCGACCTCCCATACATGGCCTTCCCCGGCGCTGTTATTCATCCCTCATCTCACTAAAACCAAAAAAAGGCCTTTGGAATCAGACAGGGCGAGAAAAGATTATTAATTAAGTCTTATGCAACGTTGCATTGTTGTTTCGCCTGGTCATGACAAGCGCTGTTGTCGTGTTGTTGCAGACGCTGAAGTGCCGGGAGAAAGAGCAAAGGAAACGCAAGAATAAGTCTTTTATACCACGTGAAGGCGTCGGTTTTCGCTGATTTGATCCGCGAGATGAGATATCATGACAGGGAAGGCTACAGGTGAAAAAGGTAAATGGAGAGTGAAAATATTTAAAAGGTTGTCAGCAGAGAATTATTTCTTGCCGGTTTTTTTTCTCTCTCTCTCTTCCTGTTCTCTCACATCCTCTGTTCTTTATGTATCCTTTATCTTCTCTTCTCGGCGTCTCTTTCATCCCTTCGTCTTTCTTCAGTCTTGTCTGCCTCTGCATTTCTTTTCCATCCATTCGCTTAATCTCTCTCCTCCTCTCGCTCTTATTTCTCCCTCTATCTTCTCCTCCCAATCCCTTTTTCATCAACGTTCAACACTCAATATAAAAAAAAATCTGAAAAAAAACTAGTGGAAAGCAAAA